TTCTTTTCAATACCTTATAAAGTTTATGTATCCAAAGAATTAGTATGAAAATTATAATTACCTCTACGATAAAATCCACCGCATTTACATTGTTTTATAACCATATTAGTATATTATATTAAATTAGAATATCTTTATTCATCATTTGTAATTTGAAATGCCTGTTCAAAATTGATATGAAACATGTTGTTAATGTCTTTTGAATTCATATTCACGTAGAAAAAAGAATATGGAGCAAAATTCACTGCTTGATGATACATATCTAATAATTGCTGTTTATCAACAATGGCGCTATTTTCTTCAATAAAACTCATTAGCTCACTGGCATTTTTCAACCTAAAAATATATAATGAACTGGCATTCAAACGAATGATAGGCGCTAAAACATTGTATTTTTGTGTTGAACAAGTTACACTTACTGCATCGTGCCTGCCTCTTGTAAAAAGTCCGTGTAATAATTTACTATATCTAACAAATTTAGGGTCGTCTGCGTGGTCATCTATAACGATTAATATTGAATGTAGTTTCTTTATCTTTTTAGATTTCATATAATTAATTATTTTCTTCTGTCTTTCAATTACATTTTCTAAATCACTTGGATTATAATTATCAAAATAAATTTGTTCTTTTTCATCATCCACGTGCAATTCATCCCTGATATATTTTTTAACTTCTGTAAAGGTCGGGTCATTATGGACGCTGGGGGAAAATATAAATATTCTTGCGAATGAATTTCTATAAACATTCAATATTAAATTTTGAATAAGGACAGTCTTACCGCCTGTCGAAGAAGCAACTATAATACTTCTGAAGGGTAATTTTGGCACGTGCTCATATTTAGATTGTTTGAATTCATATTCAGTTATGTTTATTGGTTTTATTATTGGAACATCTGTCATATAGTTGATATTAAACATATTTAGAAAATAATTTAGTATTATTTATTGTATGAAAGCATTGCTATGATATGAATGGTGACTATCGTAGTAGAACAGGCTCTTTCATCAACTTCAATCAATAAGCATTGAAGCTAATTAGTTTTGTGTCTTGCTCGCGTGTGCAATGAAAACCCCAAGTGCTGTGCCCCACCAATATTCTATTATGCATGAAAATAATAAGATGAAATAACTAGTTTATCTTATTATTTATATGACTATTATCCATTGCAGTTGTGGTAAAACTTATGATGACAAATATTTATTTAAACATCTAAATTCAAAACATCATCAGAAATTTGAGGAATATAGATGGAATAAAGACGATACAATGAAAAAACTTTACAAGAAAAGAAAGACAGAAATGAAAAAATAATTTATCTTATTATTTAATATGAAAAGGAGTTATACAGATTATATTGATATAATAAATGAAGTAGAAAATATAGAACGGGGTTGTCATAACTGATAATAGATGTTAAAAAATATGTTATTTTATTTTAGAATTAATTAAGTTTTTGATACAATATATTAAAAATATAAATATTAATATAAATGGGAAAAAAGAAAAAGAGTAAAAGCAAAGAAAGACCAATACCAGATATTGAAGCACGGAAAGAAACAGCAGAAAGTGTTAAATCACTAGGCGAAAGTAAGACTATAAAATGTGATAAATGTAATCACATAATGAATTTTAAAAATGAATTGACAGTAGATAAGAAAGGTGGAGTTAAAGTTAGTTGTGTCCCATGTATGTTTTCTTATAAAAAAAACAGATAAAGATTTTAATATTCAGAAAAGAACAGATGGTGATATGGTTATTGAAACTAACGAACATTTGATTAATGTTAGTTTTAACAGGGACATAAGTTAGTATTTAAAGAGTAGATTTAACATAATTGCACTTTATAAATATATAATTAAATAAATAAATATCTAAATAAATATATAGTAATGTCTGAAAATGAAAATTATACTATTAATGATTTAATGAAGAAGATAACATTAATTGGTAAAAATATCAAAAACTTAAATGATATGATTAAATCCATTGATGACAAAATGAAACCAGTTGAACGCGAACAACAAAGCAACGAAGAGAAGGAGAAGATTGACAAAATATTTCAAGCAAAATCTATAGGAAGGCCATCGGGCGACTACCCTACAAAGCAAAAGAAATACTGTGATATGTTGAATACAGGAAAAATCAAACAACCAAAGCAACAAACATTAGAGTTTTATAAAATTACAAAAAATGATGATGAAGTATATGTATTATTTGAATAATTAATATCTAAGTAATTCTAATAATATGAATTTATTAGAATTATTTAGCGGAACAAAAAGCGTCGGAACCATAGCAAAGTAATATCATTAGACTTGAAAAATGCCGATATCAACACTGATATTTTGGAGTGGGATTACAAACAGTTTGACAGAAACCATTTTGATTTTATTTGGAGTAGTCCCCCATGCACTGAATACAGCATAGCAAAAACTAGGGGAATTAGGAATATCGAATATGCAAATAGTATTGTCTTAAAAACTATTGAGATTATCAAATATTTCAATCCTAAATATTTTGTAATCGAAAATCCACAAACTGGATTATTAAAAAATCCGGAGTTTATGGATGAGTTTGAATTTAAAGATGTTGATTACTGTAAATATGGATTTAATTATAGAAAGAGGACTAGGCTATGGAATAACATTACAACTTGGAAACCTAGAGAATTATGTAAAAAGGATTGTGGCAACGTCAGGAATAATAAACATATTGAAACAGCACAACGGCTACCATCGGGCACCAAGGAAAATTGGGGAGACAATCCAACAATACATAAACAGGAAGATTTATATAAAATACCTAGCGAATTAATTTGTGAAATCTTAGTGAGTTTGAATTAGGGGGTTCATCACAGCAAGTCATTCACGCGCTGAAACTCAACATGTTGATGCTGTTTTCTGAGCATGCTGATGCTGTTTTCTGAGCATGCTGATGCTGTTGTTTCGTGCATGCTGATGCTGTTTTCTGAGCATGCTGATGCTGTTGTTTCGTGCATGCTGATGCTGTTTTCTGAGCATGATGATGCTGTTGTTTCGTGCATGCTGATGCTGTTTTCTGAGCATGAGCTTGATAAATATTATTACTTGAATATAAGATAGATTACAACCATACTATGATTATAACATGTAAAATATTATATGTTATAATTATATTTCAATATTTAATGCTATTTCTTGTAAAAAAGTATTTAAAGAAATACAAACTATGTATATTATAGTAAATATGGGATGGACTTTAACATCAAGAGAAACTAAGAATTGTGGATGCGTGGAAGAAACACACGTTCATGATGATTTTCCGACAAGTGATACAAGTTTAATATTATGCAAGGAATGTAAAACTAAACAGGTAGAAGAAGAGAAAAGAAGGGCAGAAGAAAAAGCCCAAATATACAATAAGTTTATTCAGGCAATAAATAATATAGAAACTAAATTAGTTCCGCGAAAAGAAGTATATCCAATTATGTCTACTTATCGTTTTCGGTTTAAGCGTTCAACATTCTCAGTATTCAACTATCAGTTATTGAATCATATATTTAAATACCAAAAAATCAGGAATCGATATTACATAAATATTAATGCTGTGCAATTATTTTACGAGCATGAGCTTGATAAATATTATTACTTGAATATAAGATAGATTAAAACCATACTATAATAATAACATTTATACCCTTATATGTTATAATTATAATGTAAGTATAGCGTTTTATATATTGAAGATAAAATCCTACAAGGGACACCACGCCCCAAAAAAATATATGATGAAACTGATGAAACGAAGGAGGGAGTGATGTTGTTGCTGTTCTATTTTTTGTCCGGGAAATGGACAAATCGTTTTTAGACAGTTCGAATATTTTTTTGACGACAAATATTTTTTGCAATATATTTTGCAAAATTTATTTTTTTGAAATGGATGAGGTGAGGAGATTGAGGAAATGACATTTTGGAGGGTAGTTGGTGAAATGAATGAGGCGAGGAGGAAGGAGAAAAGGATGGCGAAAATTTTGGAAAAATGATGATAAAAAAACGGATGAGATGGACAGAAAGGAATGTAGAAAAATGATGAAAACAAATAAGGGTAGAAGATGGAAGATGAAAAAAAATGTAGGGGGGGGTGTATGTATGAAAGCAATTTATTGCTGGGCGTGGCCCTCGACTACTGATTGCCGGTCGCAAAGCCAACATATTGCGCAACAATGTAACATGTTTCTCCAGGAACCAATGAAAAACTGCGACGAAAGTAGTTAAGGGCTGCGAATGACCACAAGTACTACGCTTCTAGAATGCAGAGATACAAAAGGCTGCGGATTTTGCGGAGCTTGCTTCGCTCTAAACTTAAGCACATCGGGCGGCATTTCACGAAAAACACTGCTAAGAAGGAACGATGTACCTGTTCCGGATGGACTTAGCATGCTTAATTTTGTATGTGAGGGACTGCCGAAACCTCTTGCTTGGCCTTAGTAGAGATCTTGAGGTATTCGGTTTGCGGGGTCCTTATCCTTCCACAGTGTTCCAACACACCCACAACATATTCATACCAGGTAGTACGCGAAGTACACCTCTGCAGCTTTAGCTCGAAAAGACGGCACGAGCACATAACATAAAGCGCACGCCTCGCTGGCCTGATGCCCAGGCTGGCAATGATCAAAGCCCATCTTGGCCACATTTGCGGCATCGCCATGTGCTCTGGAGCCCAAACGCAAAGAGCTTGCTCGCCGCACGACATTTGCCTGGAGTCTTGAAGTTTTGCAGCGCTTTTCTGCAAGCGCTCTTGTTTTGCGACGCCCCCCAGCTAGCCGCAAGCTCTGCAACGACAGGCAAAAGCAGCCAAGCATGGGAGGTAAACATTGCACGAGCGCGCCTGATTCCTGCGATCTGTAAGAACTGTACATCACAAGTTGCATTGGCGAAGGAATACATGATACATGCCCTGCACAGCACTGCAGCGAATGGCAAAGGGAAAATGTGTCAAGAGGACTGGTCATCAACCGGCCCTCATCGACAGCTCTCCTTCAAACGTCGGACAAAGCCTTCAACGTGTTCAATACGCTCCTGCAAACTCTAAGCCAAGTCGCATAACATGCGCGAAGCCAGGCACCAACTTGGCTTCCTTTGACCGATGGTTGGATGTGAAGAATATGTGCTGTTTCAGCGCCTACAACCTGTTTGACACGTTTCTTGCCAGGACTTTCCCTGGGCTTTACCCCAAAACTACCATGAGTTTCGACTCCATCAATCTCCTGCTGGATAGAGAACCATGTCTTATTCAATTTGTCGTCCTCGTTCAGTTTGATCTGGTGTTCTCTGGCACGATCGTCTTCATCGTGTTTCTCTGCCTTGGTGCGCTGGTCCTCTGCTCGATTGTGCATCTCCTGTGCCAAAAGCGTCTGAGTCAGTCGGTGCCATTTCCCGGCCGCTCCTGGCGCAGCTCTCGAATCTTCTCGTCGCACCTCAAGTCTTCGAGACCCCGCTCTCGCCCCGCTCTCGCCTGGCCGTAGTGGCCCTACGGCCCTCTGGCCCTCTGGCCCTCTGGCCCTCTGGCCCTCTGGCCCAGGCCGGGCGACTTCCTTGCGCAGCTCTTGCGCCTTCATGGCGCTATCCGATTGCAGCTGCTCCCCGATATCCTGAAGGAGAGAAAGACAGGGCGCTTCAGCGCTTCCAACTCGCACCTTGAGGCTGGACTTCAAGCCTGCAATGCTGCTGGCCAACGTCTGCGCCTAGTCGCACGCTCCACAGAAAGTTGAAAAGGCTCCAAGTCCCCACCTCCTCCTTGCACGCAGCTTTGGCAAGCTGCACTGCCGCCTAAGCACAAATGTACGCGAAGCGAGTGCACTGGACATTGGAAGCTGCCTCACGCGCTTCTTGCTCGTCCTGACCAGAGATCTAGCGTTTGTCATTCATGATTCATTACCGGCTTCCTTCCAAAAAGCCGACATCAGAACACACTTCCGAATGTGTAACTTTCAAAATGGCTCAATGGACTCTGCGAACGCCCTGTCCTTAATGAGACTTTCCAGCGCAGCTCGCGCCACCTCTTCAAGCACATAGCTTTCAGAAAGGACAAGTGCACATCACACAGCCTCCAGGTCTTTGCCAACTCGGCTGGTGATATCCTCGCCAGGAGAGTCAAAGCCGCAAGCTATGAGAGATTCCGAGTGTGGCCACTTGCCTCGGCGCGCCGCTGCACGTCGGACATGCGGCCCATGAGCGGATCCAGCTTAGCCTCGCACGACCGGTTTCTCACGCAAGCTGACATGCGCTACACGGTCGTCGGACTGTGGGGCCAGCGCCTGCAAGCTGTCCTTGAAGTTGGACGCCAGCAAATCAGCTTGCGCCTTTCAAGATGAATGCCCCGCCTTGACCCCTCTCTGGTCAGACATCACACCTCTGGAAGGGGGCATAGTGTTGGCCGTGCGTGCGACATCAACACAAGAACCACACACGCACACCACTGCAGGCAAAACCACCGATGCTGGCGCATCAAGCACAATTGAGCAGCGCTTTTGGGAGGTTCGGGGCGGCTACACCGATGCGCTTCGTGCCAGAATCCGTGCAAGGGTCGGCTTTGTGACGGAGAGTTCGCGCAGTGGCTTCGCCAACGTTTGTCTCAAAAACGTATTACTTTCAAGAAAGGTGAAAAACATAGTTTCATGTTTGCTTTCAAAACTAATTCACTGTAGCTGCTCCTTCTCTATTCAAGAGTGGCAGGAAAGGCGTGTTCAGCAGATTTGTTCTATCTTTCTTCAAAGGCCTGACCTGTGCTGCTCCAATTCACTGGAGCAACTGGCAATGGCCACTCGTCACTTGTCCGTTTGGCTTATCAAAACACTCTGCCTGAGACGTCCACTGTGATGCGCCCGCGTTTGCAAGCCACGAGATGCGCCCGCACACTTATCGTGCATGCCCTGAAACATTCCTTACAGCTCGAACGGAGGGACTCAAAGAGGATCAAAGAGGATCAAATACTGTTCTTGAGACCTCCCCTCCTCGCGGGACTGGCGCTCGCGTGCCATCTCGGCACGGATTGCTTCGCGGGCTGTCCTGAACGGGGACAATAAAATATGCCAAATAGGCCAACTGGCCAAAGGAGCGGGGCACAGCATAGAAGACACGTGCACCGAAAGTTCAGGGAGCCTAGCGGACTCTGCGTTGGCATCCACGGTGTCCTGCCAGAATCTGCGCCCATGGCGGCAAGCCTTTCAAAAGCGCGCGTGCCACCTTGAGGTCAGAGATCTTCTTGTCGAGTTCGCTGTCTGCAGTCCTCCTCTGGGCCATCAACTTTCCCTCGAACTCCTGACATCGATGCGTCAAGATTCTCGGTGCTCCCATGTCCCATTTCCCCAGCCATCCTTGTGAAGCTTCTCCTGCAAATCCGCGACCTTCCTCTCCATCTTCTCCTGACAAGCAAACAGCTGCCGTGGAAGCAGTGGCAGAAGCGTCACAAGCCCGTCCAGACCGGCACGGACGCTGGCAGAGATCTCAGCCACGGCTTGAT